TGGTAAAACCCTGTCTCTCCTAAAAATACAAAAATTAGCTGCGCTTGGTGGTGCATACCTATAATTCCAGCTACTTGGGTGACTGAAGCATGAGAATTGTTATCACCTGGGAGGCAGAGGTTGCAGTGAACCAAAATCGCGCCACTGCACTCAGCCTGGGCGACACAGTGAGACTCGGTCTCAGTGAACAAATAAATAAATAATTTTAACAAAATGCTGCCTCTAACTTCTTGTCTCACAATTGAGTCTAGCTTAAGCCCAGGCTATCCAAAGTCTACCCCACATATGCAGACCATACTCGTCAACCTTTCTAGAGGACATAGAGGGATTGAAGTCCCCCTAAATATGTTTTCTTACCCGGTTTTAGTCTAGAGTGCTGTCCAGAGGTACTCGCTTCTCCAGGAGGGGACACTGGTTTCTGAGCCTGCTCTGAGCCACTTGTATTCAGTACATTTGCCGTTCCTGACAATTTCTTCAAACTAGATTCATTACTGAATGACACCTTGGGCATTCCCTTGAATGTGATTCACATATTAAACAACAACATGCCTTTCTTTAGTTCTTTAAGGCTTGCAACGTGTTTTCATATGCATGACTCTAGTTAATGCTTCAAACCTTGGAAATACCTGGAGTATCTAAATACTAGAGGGAAAAGAGAAGGTCTAAGTGGGTAGTGAATCTGGGACTATAACCCATGTCTTAAGGCTCTTTCCTTCAACTTTCTCTCAAAATTCTCTATAGAAGTTAAAGGGAGGGAGGAAGAATACTTGGGAAGACTATCTGGAGAATCAACAGGTCTGTGAAAGAAGAGGGTAAGGGCTAACAGAAAGAAGGAGGCAATCTTCTATAAACTAGTAGACATTTGATGGAAGGGGAAATGTGGAAAAACACAGAAGGACAAGGCACATCTGGAAAATGAGGTAAAAGAGCAGTAAGGTTGGGAACAGAACAGAGATGATTGGCAAAAATGTATCTAGACAACTAAGAAAGTGATGTCAGAGTTGCACATTTGCCATATGCTGGAAAGAATATTTGGTTTTGGAATTACTTAGTTCCTGTACAAATTCTGCTTGTCTGCTTGAATAAGTGTGTATTGTTAGCTAATTATCTTTAGTTTCCCAATCCAGAAACCGGCATACATGCTAATTTTTTTGAGAGGGAGTCTCACTCTGTTGCCTAGGCTGGAGTGCACTGGCATGATCTCAACTCACTGCAGCCTCTGCCTCCCGTGTTCAAGAGATTCTCTGGCCTCAGCCTCCCGAGAAGCTGGGATTACTGGCATGTGCCACTACACCTGGCTAATACTTGTTTTATTTTATTTTTTGGTGAAATGGAGTTTCATTCTGTCACCCAGTCTGGAGTGTTGTAGTGTGATCTCGGCTTACTGCAACCTCCACCTCCTGGGTTCAAGCAATTCTCCTGCCTCAGCCTCCTGGGAGCTGGGATTACAGGTGTGCACCACCACGCCCAGCTAATTTTTGTATTTTTATTAGAGGCAGGGTTTTGCTAGGTTGGGCAGGCTGGTCTCGAACTCCTCACCACAATTGATCTACCCATCTTGACCTCCCAAAGTGCTGGGATTATAGGTGTGCGCCACCGTGCCTGGCCCATGCTAATTTATTTTCTTTTTCTTTCTTTCTTTCTTTCTTTCTTTCTTTCTTTCTTTCTTTC